TAAGATGATATCAAACATAGGGACAGGGGGATGGTTCAAACTGGGAAACGCTTGCTGCACGTGCCGCTGAGCGGCGGCCCCCTGCCACACGCTGTGCCTTTTGCGAGCGGAGGGCGTGCGGCTCCGCTCCGCGCGGCGGGGGGCCGGACGAGGCTTTGGGGACGCACGGGGGGCCCGGGCACGGCTCGCGCGCAGGGCTCGGGGGCCGCAGCGTGGTGGGCCGGAGCTGGCGGAGCCACACGCCGAGCCAAAGTCCCCGACCGCAGCGCTGCCCCGGAGAGTTCCCCCCCGCCGCCCGGCCTGCGGCCCGAGCGAGGCGCCGCGGGCGCGCGCGGGCGCCCCGTCATGCTCGCCGCGGGGTGCTCTGCCCTGCCCGCCCGGGCAGCCACTGCCGCGGGGAGGGGCGCCGCGCGCCCTCGCGCCGGGAAGCGACGCAAGGCCAGGGACGATGAGCCAAAAAAGGGCCACCAACCCTGCGGGAGGGAGCTAGGAGGGCCGAAGACAGTAGGGGCAGGGGGTCTTCTCTGCAGGTGTGCCGAACCAAACCGCTTTGAAGTATGTTCACGAGGGAAGACAGGGGGCCTCAGTGAGGCCACGCCATCACTGTGTTAGTCGGGTCAGGGGCCTTTTTTTTCGATGAAGGGTGAAAATCGGGGACAGGGACAGTGTGGGGGTCTCGGAGTTCTGGCCGCTCTGGAGGCCGCGTCGGGCGCCGGGACGCTCTGGGAGTGGTCCTATAGCCCCGCACGGTCGACCCCCTCTCCGGGGGGGGGGCAGGGGGTAGGGCCCACACACCCTGAGGAGGCAACTCCTGGAAGGCGATCAAGCCCGACTCAATGGCCAGTCCAGTGGATGGCTTGGAAAATTCGAGATATGGATATTGAGATCGATTGTGACATCGATAGTGCGATCGATCGTGGGATCGATAGTGAGGACGATAATATGGTCGATCGTGGGCCGCTAATGACGTCGATTCAATGAGATCGATCATGAACTCGATCGTGCGATCGCACGTGCGATCTGTAATGTCAGTTTGTGGTTAACAAATACCCCCCCCAGGCTGATGAATATATCCAGCGGGGCGCGACACATTTTTTTTAATCACGCGGGCTAAGGGGTCGTCGCTGGCGCCGCCGGAGGCATCGTGTATCCCCTGCATGACAGTCTCAAAACGATTGTTCGTTCGTACAAAAGTTGTTTGATGGGGTCGTACACATCCGAGGCGATTTGTTTCCTTCTCTCTGGCGTTGTCGTCGTCGTCGCCGCCGCCGTCGTCGTTGTCGCCGTCGTCGTTGTCGGCTGTCGTCGTCGTCGTCTTCTTCGTCTTTGTTTTGTCGTCGTCGTCGTTGTCGTTGCCGTCTTCGTCGTCGAGTACAGCGGGCCTGCGCATCCGCAGTGCGTCGTCGCCGTCGCGTCGTCGTCGTCGTCGCAGTCGCCGCCGCCGCCGCCGCCGCCGCCGCCGCCGCCGTCGTCGTCGTCGTCGTCGTCGTCGTCGTCGTCGTCGTCGTCGTCGTCGTCGTCGTCGTCGTCGTCGTTGTCGTCGTCGTCGTCGTCTACAGCAGACCTGCGCAGCACCCCCCCCCTTTAGGGCATCCGCAGGCAGTGCGCAATGCGTCTTCGTCGTCGTCGCCGCCATCGCCGCCTGCCGTCCGCCGTTCGCCGTCCTCGTCCTCGTCCTCGTCCGCGTCCTCGTCCTCGTCCTCGTCCTCCTCGTCATCGTCCTCGTCCTCGTCCTCGTCATCGTCCTCGTCTCCGTCCTCGTCTTCGTCGTCGTCGTCGACGACGACGACTACAGAGACCACGACAGAGGGGGGGGGACTGCCCGCCTTGCTCGGGTCGGACGAAAAGCTGCGCAAGGAAAGAAGGGGTTGCGAAACCTGCTGCGCGCAGCTGGTTTCGGTCGCCCTGCCGAGGGGCCAGTCCTCGGTGCATGGCCGCTTTCGGCGCCAGGGAGCGCTCGGAGAATCAGCAATGTGAGCTGCTGGGCAACTCCCTTCTTGGTCACGCCCCCCTTTCGTCCAGCCCGCCTCTCTCGCGGGCTCCCGAGGCAGCTGGCGCACCCCTGGTTGCGGCCAGGGTCCAGGAAGCGCATCGGTTCGAAAGAAAACAACACGAAAAATGTGGGGGCGAGCGCCGACACCAATTCTTTTTAATTTCGAACAGGTGTCGCCCTGGCTCCCGGTCCCTGCTTCTGCCGCCGTTGCCTCCCGCCCCCCTCCCCTCCCCCAATCTGTGCTGTCTGTCGCCTTTCCGCTGGCGGCTGGGCGTCGGCGCTAATCACCGGCACCGCCGCCGTTGATTTTCAATCTGGCGGGCGCCACTCCGCGACTCGCCCGAGCAATTCTTGAACACGCGCCCCCCACGAATTTGTTTATCACAAGCTGATGTTTAGTGATATCGCTTATGAGATCGATAGTGAGATTAATAGAGAGGTGAGTACTTACATCGATGGGGTGAGACCGATCGATCAGGATATGACCAGAAAACCAGGAACCCGCCA